GAGGGCAGGCAATTTAAGATAGTAACAGATCATGAGAGTTTGAAACATCTCCTGGGACAGAAAATCCACACTCAGATTCAGAAGAAGGGTTTGGTGAAGCTGCTGGGGCTTGATTTTGAAATTCAATATCGTCAGGGCAAGTTTAATCATGTAGCTGATGCCCTTTCAAGACATCCCAGTTTTGTCACTGCCATGGCCGGTTCAGGTAACTGTTGTCCTATTACAGCTGTGCTACCAGCTTGGTTGGGGGAGTTGGAGTCTACCTATGAGGGGGATCAGTTGTGTCAACAGTTGATTACGGAAGCTGTTGTGCCTTTCATTGGCCCTAAGTTGTACTGGTTTTCTCAGGGATTGCTTTACCATAAGCTGGCCATTTATGTGGGAAGCACTGGGGACATGAGGAAACAGTTGCTGCAACTGTTCCATGACTCACCAGTGGGTGGTCATTCTGGGGTGCAGGCCAGTTATCAGAGGCTGAGGAGATATTTCTGGTGGCCTGGTCTCAAGACTGATCTGAAGAATTACATCAGCCTTTGTGAAGTTTGTCAGAAGTGTAAAATTGAAAACATTCCTTACCCTGGTTTACTCCAACCACTTCCTATACCTGATCAAGCCTGGAAGCACATCTCTATGGATTTCATAGAAGGTTTGCCTAGTTCCAGTGGCAAAGATGCTATATTGGTGGTGATTGATCGTTTCTCCAAGTATGGGCACTTCTTTGGTCTTTCCAAGCCATACACAGCTATGACAGTGGCTCAAGTATTCTTTGATGGGGTGTTTAAGTTGCATGGCATGCCTAATACTATAGTATCTGACAGAGATGCTTTATTCACAAGCTCTTTTTGGACTAAACTGTTTGAATTACAGGGGGTGAAGCTGCATTACTCAACTGCCTACCATCCTCAGACTGATGGTCAGACAGAGAGATTGAATCGATGTTTGGAGGAATATTTGAGGGGAATGGTACATCTGTGTCCCCAGAAGTGGTTTGGATGGTTGACCTTAGCAGAGTGGTGGTATAATACCAACTTCCACAGTAGTCTTCAGCTCACTCCATTCGAAGCTCTTTATGGGTATGCTCCTTCCCATTTCTCTATCCAAAACCCCCTTTCCACTCCTGTGGCAGCAGTGGCTGAGAGGTTGCAGCAGCAGCACAGGTTGGTGGATATCTTGCGCCAGAACTTGGCCAAGGCTCAAAATAAACAAAAGCAGATGGCTGACGCTCACAGAACTGAGAGGACACTGCAGGTTGGTGACTTGGTCTATCTCAAGCTGCGGCCCTATCGCCAAACTTCGGTTGCAAGCAGGGTCAATCAGAAGCTGGCTCCCAAGTTCTTTGGTCCATTCCCTATTGTGCAGAAGATCGGGGCAGTAGCTTACAAGCTACAGTTGCCAGCTGAATCGGCCATCCATCCTGTGTTTCATGTGTCTCTGTTGAAGAAGGCCAGGGTGGGAGATTCTCTGCAGGTCCTGCCAACATTACCTGTCATGGATGATCAGGGTGTTCTCAAGTTGTCTCCTTTAGCGATCCTAGCTAGGCGAGTTATAGCTCAGGATAACAAACCATTGACACAGGTACTGGTGCAGTGGTCTCACCAGACCGAGGAGGATGCTACATGGGAGAATTGGATTGAATTTCATGGCCGATTTCCAGACTTTGAAGCTTGAGGACAAGCTTTCAGTGAAGAAGTGGGGAGTTGTAACGAGCGGACTAAACTGTATAGTGTTAGAAGTTGAGGGAGCGGAATGGTAATTTTGTATTAGTAGTATAAAGGAAAGGCGCCAGGACCGTTGTAACTACTTTTTCAGCTGATCAATAACAAACTCACTTTCCCTTCTCTCTCTTCTCTCTCTCTCCTCTCTGTTCTCTTCTCTTCTGCTTCCTCTCTACCGAGAATTCCTCCATTGCCAAGTCTTCTTTCTTCCCAGGGCGTGACAAATCTCTGATATTTTCATGCCGAGAAACGCCATGGAGAGGGGAGCGGAGAGTTCTAATTGGGAAGGGAGAAGGGGACGTAGAAAGTTACTATTTTACATTTATATTATTTGTTAGTAGCGTGCTGACTCTAATAACACCTTATCCAGTCCCCTATATAAACAATATAAATAATTGGAGAGATTAAATTGATGGAAATCGTGTGTCACATTCTTCAAGTCAAAGTAAGCAATCTGCAACATAATATTTGGACACACACATTATTCTATTAATTCATTAGAAGATTTTCTTAAACAAAAATTAACTTATAAGTTTAATGAATATATCTATCATACATTGTGGTTAAAATGCAAGCATAAAAGTACTCTGATCAATAAAATTCAAATTATCATGTGTTTTTTTAATCAAAAAATATGTTTATTTTCAGAGTTCTGATTGGATCTGATGCATTAGTTTTGATATGATCGCACCCCAAATTATCATGTCTTAAACCTATTTTTATCAGAACAATTCGGGTTTCATTGAGAAAGAATCAAAAGTGTTGGAGAAATTTTTTGAGCTTTGCTGGGAAGGGTGAACTATAGTTTAGAGGATTTTTTTTTTAATTTCAATGTAACTTTATACTTTCATACTTTTATGTGTTAGGCTTTTAGGTTTTAATATGTTTTTCAAATAAAAATTATTGGGCTAGAATTTTTAGTCTAAATTCACAGTAGTGGTTTGGATATGTTCGTTTGGATTATTTTCCTAATTACACAAAATTCTATTATCAAATTAAATTGGACCGACTTTTAAATAACACTGTGTCGAATACCTTAAATCAAAATTTTTATAAGCACTATACCTGCTCCTGGGTCGTGGCTATGGCTGGACGTTTAGTACCGGTATTAGGGATATACCGAATACCGTACCGAATTTGTCTATATTTGGTATTACCGAATATACGTATTATTTCTTGGGATTGAGATTGGGATTCAATTTCAATTGTTATTCGGTATTAGGAATTACGAGATTGGGATCAGTATATACCGAAATACCGAACAATACCAAAATATAAGCTAATGTGTATTTTATGCTCTCAACTAAACTCTCTCATTCACTACTACATGACCCTCAACGACCAATCTATTGTTATTTTCATAACATCAAAAAACAAACACTAGTATTAGTCTTCTCTCAGTCTCCAATTCATCAAATTAAAGATTACCAATGACAAAAACTTGATATGTCACCTTTCCTCCATTCTCCTTATCCATATCCTATCTCTAGCCAAACTCAAAACTCTTTGCTTATTCTCTTTGTCCTATATTAAACAAATCTAATTTATATATTTAATAATTAATTGCAAAGGTAATTAATTTCTTATTCGATAATACCGATTGGGATACCGAAGTACCGATTGGGATACCGAAATATTTAGGGATTGGGATAGGGATACCAAAATTATTTAGGGATTGGGATTGTGATTGAATTTACGATATAATTCAGTATTCCGGATTTTGGTATTTGGTATTGGGATACCGATACCGTACTGATTTCCACGCCTAGTCGTGGCCTAGGGTAGATCCAACCCTAGATCCACTGTTGTTCATAGCTCTAGTCGTTATGTTGTCGCCGGAGACTATGGAGGGACACACGGAGGTGGGTACCGGGTCCGCTGATGATTTTTTAAAAATGTTTTTGTGGAGTTATTTTAATTTAATAATTTTCAAAAATACATGGAGGGGCAAAATTTTGATTTAACCTTATCCTATAATTGGTTCAATCATGGTTCATGGAGTTTGGACGGAAAAATCAACGGAAGGACATGTTCGATAACGTAATTATCAATGTTGTCAGAACCGAACCGGTATATGAACCGATAAAGTAAGTGGCTCGCACTTATTGGTTTAACCAGTATTAAGCCGCTATAAACCCGTTAATGAATCGGTTTCTAATAAATAAAATTATTATAAGTAGGGGTCAGATTGGCGTACGTCAGGCGTATACTATACATCAGGCATTACTATTGAGATATCTCTATGTAGACCATGAATTAAATTGAGTTTGTGGTATGATACTATACCCTAACCTCTAATGGATAAACCCAAGGCACCAATTTTCTAAACCCCCACCCGAAGTTTGATTTAATGGAAAACAAAAATTGACCGTTGAGATCGGTCGGGGCTCATCTATGTACAACTAACGGTTAGATCACTTGATGTATACTACACGCCAGACTGACGACTGACGTACACCAGTCTTTACCTTATAAGTAGTAACCATTAATAGTATTATAATTATATACCGATTCTAATATATTCCTAACAAAAAATTATATATCACAAGTAAAAATTATCATTTTACAGAAATATAAATTATTTACGTATAGTATTTGTGTTTTGTCAAAAGTGAAAACCTATTTATTAATGATTATTTTTTGAAATTAAACACTATGCGATGAATTAATAAATAGACTTTAAAGTTTTTGTTTCACAAACAAGTGTCAATCTTATTGGAAGAAGGCATAGCTTGGCACTATGAGGTGTTGGGTTCATTTCCCAGCGTTCTAACATTTGACTAGATTTTTAGTCACGTGATATTCCGATTGGTAAAATCGAATAAGCTGCTCAAAATGTCCGTCCGGTTAACCGACCGGTTCGCCCACAAAGCTGCAGTTTAATCCATGGCGGTTAAATAGTCTGACCGAGCCGGATTAGAGGTTGGGTGTCGGTCGGACTGGCCGGATCGGTTCGGCTTTAACAACCTAATTAGAATAGGTGAGTAAACATGACGTAAAAAATAATAGAATGACATATTTATGAAAATGCGAAAGTAGAGGGGCAATTTATCCGATCTAACTAACCCTATAAAAAAACTTTTAAATCAACATCAATGGTTTATATTTATATCCCATTAATTACCGCCGTTTTCATTCAACTCTTATAAAACCTTTCTTTCCTTAACTGAGTGCCTTTGACATTCTGTGGCAGCGAATTCCCCAAAGTTGAAAGCCCGTACAAATCTACATACTAATATGTAAACATAGTAGGGTGACGTATTTCCTCTGTTGACATTCAATATATAGACGACACTGCAAGACACAACAATAGACAAGTTCAAGGACCTTGACAACTTCCAGCTGCTATAGCAGCGCCTTGACATTCTTGCACGGCCGGATGAATCAATGAATTCTAATAAAGTAGTTGATCCCTTGTGACGCTGTTTCAGTACATTAAATCCATCAATTCAAGTTCATTGACTATCTGATCATGTCACCTAATCGACAAATTTAACCAAATCTGGTCCATAGTCTACTTGCTTCGGAAGGATCGAAGAAATTACCAATGAATATACTGTGTTGTTATGCTCTGAGGACCTGTCATTCACACAGGGATCCGTGGCGCAATGGTAGCGCGTCTGACTCCAGATCAGAAGGTTGCGTGTTCGATTCACGTCGGGTTCAATTCCCATATCCCTAAATTTTTTCAATCAACTCTTTTCCCTGCCTAATAACAAACCATCCATTCAGAGAAGCAAGCAGAATCTCTACAGCCTAGACACCCATTTTTCTAGACGAAGTTGCTTCAATGGAGGTCGCATAACAGGCTTGCTCCTCTGAGGGCATTTCCACTTCCCGGTTACCTCACTGTGCTGCACAACATTTGGACTTCTTTCAGACAGCGCCTTTCTTTGCTGCATTACCATATGATGTTGATGAACAACTCTTCCTCCTCTCACTCTTGAAGCATTTTGGTGCAACATTCCTTGATCCGGGATAATGGTTCTCGTCATAGTGCAGTCTGGTGATCCTGTTCTTCCTTGTTGTCAGAAACCCACTTTCAGAAGAAGAAACGGCTGCATTTTTTGCTTCATGATCACTAACTGTGTTTCCAGTGCCTGATACTGTGATTAACTTGGTATTGTTTTCATCTGATGCTGCTGCTTTCGACTTCTCAAATGAATGTGAATCTTCACTAGGAGTCAACAATTCTGCTGGAAATTTCTCGTCACTGTTCTGAATGTTGTGGCCTTCCAAGCTCCTCATTGTCTTAGGGTTTCTCTACAGACTACAATTGATATGCCTCAGAATCATGAAACAAGCTAATTTCAAACACAAGATTGGAAATTGACTTAGTAGTAGGTAGGAGACAAGGGAAATCATGTACTATATCTGAATGCGGGAGGTGACTCTGGTTATGATTTATTGGGAAGTTGTCACAATGAAGAAGTGCATCAAGTGTGAACTCCCCATCAATGTTCCCTTGATCAATGTCTATGCATTCAGATATCATTTCTCCATCTTCACTTCCTTCTTGGTTAATGATAACGCCTTCTCTATGCTGCGACTCATCTTCACCCGGCGCAGGAGATTCATAGGCATAGCTGGAGAACCAGTTCCTAATGTCAGGCGGCTCTGGAAGCATAGAAGTGTAGGACAAGTTAAAAAATCTTGAAAATTTCAGTCTGAAGATTCTGGCGCCTACAAGAATGAAAGTTCATATATAAGAAAAATATGGCAACACCGAATGATTACCAAGAAGATAGAGTACCCTACGGAGAACCAAAACTGGTAACTAGACTAGTGATTGATACTGGTTCAAGATGGAGATGGAGATGGAAGGGTAACAAAGAGCTCACCTTTGTCAAAGGGCTGTCTTCATTTCCTTCTCTACACAGGAACTCATTTGCCATTACCTCAACAGAAGAAGGTGGCTTTTCAAGTGGCTCTTCACTTTTCTTCTCCGAATTCTCAAAATTTAGTTCTTGGTTGATGCCTTCCTTGATAAAAAAAAGCACCTTTTATCACCTTGATTTTCCCAAATACCAAGTGTCTCAAGTTCTCCATCATGATCCAACCCACCAGAGTCTGATACATAGCTCGAAAGCCAGTTTCCGGGTTGATTAGGTTCTGAAAACACAGACGGTTGAGAAAAAGTTACCATTCAAATTGTATTGATCATCCACATGGATTATCTAACTGATAGGAATTCTCTGAAACCACTCAAACCAAAGAAAGAACTCCTATGATAGCATTTCACAATACTAACCATTAAGGAAAGCCGGCTGAGTATGAAGATTCTGGAGCCTACAAAAACGAAAGTCCATATAAGCAAAACATGAGAACACCTGCAGAGAGTAGTCAATATAAGCACGCATGTTGGAATAGTTACTACAATGCAAAGCTTATTGAACTCAAACACTTTAATTCAACCCTTGATTAAGAGGTGGCAATGACACAAACTTGATAGCTAAGTTGGCATGCTATGATATACTAACCCTAACGAGAACCAAAACTGATAAATGGACTGGAGATTGATACTGGTTCAGACTCTATTACCTCGCTGAAAGTCTGGCTCTCACTTCCATCAACAACTGAGGGACCATTGTGACCTCGGCTTCTGAATGCTTCATCGTAAGTATTCAGAACAAAAGAGTCATATTGGTAGCTCGAAAACCAGTTCCTTAAATCGGGAGGCTCTGCAAGCAAAAGGAGGAAAACCCAGCATTACAAAAGTCTGAACCAGAGATAGAGTACCCAATTCGAAGGGGAAAAAGTCGTACTTTCCATCGATTAGACGGGCGAGCTTCTGGAAGTAGATAGAGGAAACCAAACCAGGATAAGAATGAAATCATAAACTAAGGGGTCGTTTGCTTGAGGGTTTTGGTGATGGATTTGGTCATGGAAATATATCCATCATGGACTTGAATCGAAATCCATCGTTTGCCTTAGGGAATTAGGGAGATGGAATTTGTGGGGCCCACCACTTTTGGGGTTCCAAATCCGTGGACCCCACGGACTTGGAAGTTCCACCTCTTGAGGTGGGATTTGGGTGATGGATTAAAATCCATGATGGTAAATTACCTTTCTACCCTTAATTATTTCTTTGATTACAAATTTGTCCTACTTTAATTCAATGGTCATGCAATGTAAACTTTTATAATTTCGTATTTTATAAATATGAGAATTTATCATTTCATTTTGTAATATCGTATTTTATTTAAATATGAATGTATATGTGATTTTTTAGATTCACCTAGAAACACTTTATGCTCATCTTGTACATTATTATTTGATTGATTGTCGGATTCCACATCGGTGAGTTAGCAAGAAGATGATGAGTTGTAGCAATAAAGCGAGCAATTGGCTACAATTGATACATAATATTGCGTACATTATTAGATGAATTGTTTTTTTTATGAAGGATTATTAGATGAATTTTTAATTAGTGCCAAGATGAATTGTTAATTAGTGCCATATTGTAATACATTTCTATATTTGTAGTTGAATTATTAATCCACATAGTGGTAAAGATTTTAAAATTTCTTTTTATGTTTTGGATTAGTTTTAAATGAAAGATTTGGATTATAATATAGAAATATAATTAAATAAGGGTAACTAGGTAATTTGTATTTAATATCCACAAATCTAATCAAAGAAAGTCCATAATCAAATCCATCAAGCAAACAATAGACTTGTTCAAATTCATAATGCCACCAATTCCATCATATATCCATGGTTTTCCAAAACCCAGGTTTTACCAAAACCCTCATTTTTCAAATCCATGAAGCAAACGACCCGTAAAAGTTTTCAGCTTTTCGAAATATAACGCCGGGATCCTTTTGGCGCCATTGAAATTTTCGAGAGAAATTGGTGGTAAAATTACCGCGCGACTCCTAAAGATAGTTAATTTTCAGTCCTGGAATATTACATAACAGTCCCCCGCCGCCGCCCACCTGGTCACACTCATTCAGCTGCTCGCCTTACTATCCCACGGCCAACGTCTCACAGGATCCGATCAAAAATATTCAGTACTGAACAACTCTGCGGAGAAATGGGAACTCTAGGGATGGTCACGAGATCTCTGACCCGCCATTACTCGAAGAAGAATTCGAGACCCTTCAAATTGCATCAGTACCAGAGCTGGAGGACGCTGATTTTGGAGCCCTTGTCGTCGGGATCAGTCCAGGTGCGGCGGCTCTCGGACGCCGATTCAGGTAAGGGATTCAATTCAAGCTTGCCGGGGGGAAAGAAACCCAGACAAGAACTCAGTTTTCTGGATGTGTTTGGGTGCAGGGATAGTTGAGGTGAATTTGCACAGGCCGGAAACTAAGAACGCGATTGGGAACGAGATGCTGAGAGGGTTGAGGCATACTTTCGAGACGCTTGAGATGGACGGTGATGCCAACGTGATGATGATCTCTAGCTCTGTTCCTAAGGCATTCTGTGCTGGGGCTGATTTGAAGGTAACAATTAGGGCTTTGAATTGAGAGCTAAACTCCTGTCATAATGTTGGAATTGGGATTGAATTTCGATTCAAGTAAATACCAGGAAAAGCGATAGAGTACTGCGTATTTGTTCTCGATTTTTCGAACTCTGAAGTGGAATGATATTGGCCAACTCGTATACATGCTTGGTGGTTGCTTCAATAGGGGGTTTCTATATGCTTTACTTCCTTCAGAAAAACATTCTAGGTTGCTTTGTGTTTATGCCCAGTAAACTATCAACAAAAATCTGAGAAAGTATGGGGTAAAAAGTGGAGCTTGATAAGATTGCCTAATGCTGCATTTTGCTTGGATGGGCAGGAACGCAAGGAAATGACTGCATCAGAAGTTCAGTTCTTCGTCAACTCATTGCGATCGACATTTGCGCTCTTAGAGGTTCAGTTCTTGCACTCTAATTGCTATATCTAGTACTGTCTGCCTCTGATGCTAAATGAAGGAAAATAGTCTTTTTTCGAAAGTGGCATTTAGAGAACTTCCCGCAACCTTTGACCACATGAAGATTATAGCCTAATGTATTTGAATTCGTACTGCATTTATATTAATCCAGGCTCTTCGTGTTCCTACCATTGCTGTTATTGAAGGAGCAGCATTGGGTGGTGGACTCGAAATGGCTTTGTCATGTGATCTACGGATTTGTGGTTAGTTTTGAGTAATTAAGAGTAAGCAACAATGTAACCTTACTGATGTCGCGACATGCTCTAACTGGCATAAATTGAATTTTATGCAGGAGAAAATGCGGTTCTGGGATTGCCAGAAACAGGACTGGCAATAATTCCTGGGTATATGCTTTGTTGACATTAGTCCTTTGCTGTATTGGATCTCTCTTATCAGAGATAAGAGTATCATCTGATAACGGCTTCGCCTTAAATAGTTTCATAAAGTTACTTGCTCGAAAGAGATCAGGGTGTAATAGAATGTACTTGACAGGGCTGGTGGGACTCAGAGACTTCCTCGACTTGTAGGGAAAGCCGTGGCAAAAGAGCTTATATTTACTGGTCGAAGGATTGGAGCCAAGGAGGCAATGTCCATTGGTATAAGCTTTGTGTCTTTTGCATTATTTTTCATATGTGCTTTATGTTATCCATCAGCATTCAATTTTGACAGTGAACCATGCTGCAGGACTCGCCAATTATACTGTACCTGCTGGGGAAGCTCGTCCAAAAGCGCTTGAAATTGCTCGAGAAATCAACAACAAGGTACAGTAACGTTTATCTTTGATGATTCTAACACTCGGGAGCTCTTGGAAGTGAATAGGTTGTACAGATTGGGAAACAAAATCGTGGGTGGAAATCGACTTTGTTAATACGCTCAAGTTTGACAGGGTCCAATAGCAATTAGGATGGCTAAGAAGGCCATCAACGAGGGGATCGAAGTTGATCTGCAAGCAGCACTAGACTTGGAAGAAGAGTGTTATGAGCAGCTGCTGAACACGAAAGATAGACTGGAAGGCCTGGCAGCTTTTGCAGAAAAGCGAAAGCCGAGGTACAGAGGGGAGTAATACAAGGAACCTCCTTGATATATTTGCCAAGACAAGCAGTTTCTAGGGGAGTTAGTGTTATCTACTTGAGGCTTTGGCATCGATTCGAGCAGTTATGTTGCTAATGCAGCTTGAAGCCTTGAACTGTGTACATATTCACCATTCACAAAATGATGACGAAGATTATGATGCATTATCTGCAACACAGACTTTCATGTGGCTGCTCTAAATGTTCCGTACGTGTGATGTTGTAACCCTCTAATCGCTTTATACTGGTTGACAAGCTTATTAATAGTGTTATTCGATATGGCCCGCTCGCTTCGTGCTATGTGCTATGTGTATATATGAAAAAATTTGCAATATTCTATTCATAATACATAACTGCAAAATACAATAGTTCCAAAATTTGACCAGTAAAGCATGATGACATGATATTATTTAGTCTACTTTAGCTTTTGTCGTTAATCTAGTGAACAATTCTTTTTTTTTTTGTTAAATTTAACGGTTCTATTGAACATAATAACTATATTTGTCATTATGCAAAAATGATTATGTCATTTGCATCAAAATTTTGATTATACGAATGTATTTTGAAATACGATTTGGCTGACTGGTAACATGATGTGTTGACTTGAAATTGAAATGATGTCCACATAAGCTTGTTGTCAACATTTCCAATGACAATAGGACATCTCTAATTTCGTTAATGTTTTTAACACAAAGGGTTGTATGTGTGCAAGAAACACGGATATTTGAGCACCTATTGTTATCATGACAAGATTTGATACAAGGGATTTGGATATTGAGAACAATAGTAGGAACTTGGAAAAGAAATATATCACTGAGGATTAGGGATTTGAGAGATAATTGGGAAAGAACAACCGAGGCCTTTAAAGAGAAATATACCAGATGTCAAATAATTGAGAGAAATTAGGGTTTGGGGATAATTTATGTAATTCTTATTATTAGAATTATTAAGTCCCAAATTAAAAAAAAATTGGAATTATTGTTCATTAAAAAAACCCGGGTAGTCTGTTTACCGAGGTCAAATGATTAGTTGTGGGCAATTTTACGTTAAACCAATGAATATTGCTTTGGGCTGGCCAAGCACGACCGTTGATCAATTAAATATGAACTATCTACCAGATATCAGCCGTTAGATTCCTATCCTCTTATGTCCTGCGAGGCTGTGACTCATTCTTTTTTTTCTCCCCAAAACCCCAATTTAGTTATCCTGCTTACAGCCCTTCTAGTGAGTATATACTCACACAGCCAGATGGTTGTCCACGTCGCCGAGCTGTGATCGATGGGTGGTGGAGCAGTGGCGCCGAATTGTGAGGGGGGAGAGGCCGATCGGCTCAGCTGGCCAAAGCCAGTTTCACCTATAAAAAAAGTGGGTTTTTTTTTCAAATTTCACCAACTTTCTCAAATAAACCCACTTTTTCACTTCTCTCTCCATCATTCTGTCTATTCCTTTCCACTCTAAAAAAAAAAAAAAATTCATCTTCCCTTTCTCTCCAAGAAAAACTTTCTCATTTCCTCTCAAGAATATGGCGACGACGACGGCTAGTGCACGCGACGGTCCTTGACGGCACGGCGGTTAGTTTGGGTGCGCGCGACGGCTGGTTTGACGGCGACGGTGCAGACAGAGTGTGCGCGTGAAGGAACGGCTGCTTTGACGGAAAGAAAGCGGCCATAGTTTATTGACGGCGGCGCAACGGTCCTTGACGGAGGTAGACTTCTTCTTCCTCCTTTATTCATGATACGAATGATTGTTTGCTTCGATTCGAGTTAGGGTTTCATGGATTCGACGGGATCTAGGTTTTTCTTTTGCTTCGATTTTTTTTGCTTTGATTTTTTTAATGGGTTTTCTGGATTTGTTTTCTGGTTTCATGGAAACCGCTGGATCTGGATGCTTTCTTTTGCTTCGTTATTTTGGATGGGTTTTCTGTGGCATGGGATGCGAGTTGTTTTGTGGGTTTGGGATATCAGTATAAACTTGCCTGGATAGTTTTATTTAGTATCTGGATGTCAATTCATTGATATTAGTTTTGATTAGTAGCGATATTAGTTGCATGTTTTCCTGGATTTTTTTTATGTATCTGGATATCACCTCATTGATATTAGTTGTCATCTTTAGGGATATTAGTTGTATGATAGATTGAGTTTTTGTTTGACGAATGTGGATATGACTTTGTTGATATGACTTCTGCACATTAGGGATATTGTTCATGTGAAGTCCAAATATTAGTTAGTTTATGTCAGGATATTTGTTTGTGCAGGAAAATCAAAATGGCAAGAATTGGTTCGTTTTATGGTTGATATTACTTTGTTTCATGCTTGATATTTGTTATTTTCATGTTGGATATTAGTTTGATGTACATTGGTTCGTTTTATGGTGGATATTAGTTCATTTCGTGTTGGATATTTAGTTACTTTCATGTTGGATATTAGTTATGTAATTTATTGGCCTAATATTAGGTATGTCATTGGTGGATATTGTTTTTGGTTTGTCTGGATATTACTCTGAATGTATGGATTATAGTTACCTTATATTAGTTCTGTGTGGCGGGGATATAAGTTGATTGATACCTAGATATTTATCTTTGATTCCAGGGATATTAGACAATGGCAAGAATTAAAACAAAAGCGAAGAGACCACAATTAAGAGAAGGACCATCCCAACCTCGTCGTGGCATGATCGAAACATGGGGGGCTCAGAGGGACATGATAAAAAAGATTATCGAGAGTTTGACCAAGCAAGACAACATTTAAACTATTCCTTTTTTGTTTTTTTATGTGGTTGTACTTTTTTGGATTTTAGATTATGGGATTGCCAAGTTGGAATGACATTAATACTAGTTGTATCGCGGTTTGTCGAAAAACAACTTTATTTTATATGGATTTGTTTAAACTCAATATCAACACAAACAAACATAGATAAACATCCACACAAAACAAATATTCAAACCACCCACACTAATATCGATTCACCATAACAAATATTCACACCACCCAGACTAATATCCCACCGTCTAATACCAATATCCAATCAGTCCATAATTAATATTCTCACCATCACAGGCTAATACCCACTACACACAAACTATAACATCTGACCATCGCGAACTAATACTCATTACACGAAAAAATATCCACACATCGCAAACTAATATCCTCCCATCACATAATAATATCTTATCACCACAGACAGATATCAAATCACCCTACATTGTGTTCATATCCATTTCCACAACATCATCTTCTAAACCCTGAACCAAAACAACCCTCACTCTAACCCCTAAAAAATATCCACACCATCCAAACTAATATATCACCGTTTCAAGCCAATATCCAGTCATTAAAAATGCAATATCTCACCATCACAGTCAAATATCCACAATACACAGACTGATATCTCACCGTCGCAGACTAATATTCGACTATACAGACAAAATATCGAACCACCATACATTGTGTTCTAAACCACGAACCCTAAATTCTAAACCCGAAGTAGGTCAAGTGGATGTAGTTGTAATTAGTTGGGGGTTTTGAAATTATTTTGGTGAAAAGTAAACATTAGCTTTGTGATGTAAAAGGAGGATGGACACTCTTTTGGGCAAGCACGAATATTATCAATCAAAAGGTCTAATAGGAACAACCATGCAGACTAATATCCAAATAAAGGAAACAAAAAATCTAATCACACAAAACCAAGGACCAGGATACCGTATCGGACCGGCCTATCGGACCGGAAAAATCGGAAACCGGACCAGGCCCGGCACAATATGGGTTGTGTACCCTTTATATTCCTGTCGGGCGGTATTTGCGGTTGGACCGCAATGAGCCAAAATTTCGGCCGGTTTTAATAAACCCGGCGGTCCCCTTAATTTAAACAAAACAACGCCATTTTGACATAAGTTTAAAAAAAAAATCAGAAGAAAAGCAGAGACCAAAAACCCTACTTCGGCTGGCCCTTGATAGCGCTCTTGTCTCTCGTCTCCCCGCACCACTCTGCCTCTCGAAGACTCGCACTCATTTCCATTTCCTCAAACCAGCAACCACCGGCGACGCTTCCTCCCCAGCAACCACCGGAGACGCGTCCTCCCCAGCAACCGAAGACATCGTCGTTCCCAGCCGCGCGGATATCTTCTACACACTGAGATTAGAGGTAGTGTTTGTTTTCTCCTTCTCCCTTTGTCGTTGCTTCTATTCTACTTTGAACAAAATCAAACGAAAACATTGAAATAGGTTGATTCATGGGTTAGTAAACAGAAATACAGAACTCAATTGATGAAGGGTAATATTGCGTTCTGTTGGGGTAAAATTAACAAAGCATTATTTTACAAATTGGTCTCCTTTAAAAAATTGCTTTCTGTTGGGTTAAAATTAACATAACTGAAGAAATTAAAATCGGAACGATGAACAAATAAGATTAAAAAAGCAAGAGGGGTGGTTTATTAGTTATTACCTAAAGTGAATGAAGATCTGTAGTACAAAATTTGTGGGTGTTTACTAACATTATGTTTATTGTTTTTATTGTGACAATAATGGCTAGCGGGGAAGAAACCCCGGCAGTTGAGCAAGGAGAAACTTCTAGTAGACCACGAGTGTCAACAAAGAATGTACGAGCCAAAAATGATCCTACTTGGAATCGTTGTACCTTTCATCTTGAGGGAAAGGTTGAGGTACGCACTTGCATATATTGTGAGAAAGTATTCAGAGGTGGAGGAATCACTAGAATGAAAAAACATCTAGCTGGAGTTAGTGGGGATAATGTTGTATGTACAAAGGTTCCTCCTGAGGTGAGCCAAAACTTGAAGAAACTTTTGACTGATTTTAAAGCTAATAAGAAGAAATTTGAACTTATCAAAGCTGGATTTAAAGAACCTCGTGAGACTAGTTCTTCTAGTGCACATGATGATGGTAATAGTTCTAAAAGAGTTGCTACTTCCACAAATGTGTCTACTGGATCAGTTGAAACTTTCTTTGCTCCACGATCAACTTCTGGTAGCCAACCGCGAATAAAGAGTGCCTTAGCAACTAAAGAAGTTGTATTGTATGTAGATCGAGCATGGGCTAGATGGTTCTATGATGCATGTGTTCCTTTAGAAGCAATTAAATCTTCACAGTTTAAAATTGCATTGGATGCTTCTTTAACCCTTGGTCCTGGTTATGGTGGTCCTACATATTATGCTTTGAGGTTTACTTAGCATTGTGAAAGAATGTCAGATATTGATTGAGAATCTTAGATCTCATTGGAAGGAATCTGGATGCACTATTATGGCAGATGATTGGACAGATAATAGGCATAGATCTTTGATCAACTTTCTGATTTATTCTTCTAATGGCACATGCTTTGTGAAATCCGTTGATGCTTCTGGTATGGCGAAGACTGGAAAGAACTTGTTTAAGTTGTTTAGTGGGGTC